GCACAGAGCCAGACTGGAGTCAAACTCAACAGGGTCTTTTCTTTTCCCGCTTAGCCCTTCAAGTCCGTTCCCTTGACTGTCGTTTCGCTAGATAGTAACTCGGGACAGAGGGAATCTCATTAATCCATTCATGTGTGAACCCAATCGCACCACAGGGCAGTGGATTAGCGTAAAGGAGCCACGCCGCCACTCATTGCACCCCACAGAGGCCGCAGTGGAGTGGTCCAGCAACACAACGGTATCCTTCCCACTCACAGTGTACACACACACACATAATGACAGTCTCACATGCTCATGTCAGAGAGGCACTGCGGCATTCACTAAAATGTACACTGAGTCACACACCCACAGAGAGGAAAAGAAAAACACAAGAAAGGAGGGACAACAGGATACCAACAGCACACAAAGCACTCACAATACAATAATCATAGCTGCCACTCCCATCAGAGAAAAACATTCACCCACACCAGCACATCAACTCAACCCCCAAAAAGAAAAAAAAAAAAAACAGATCCATTATGTGAAGCCGAAGCGGACCAGTCTCAGTCCACCTCCCCGCAGGCTGCAGTCACTTAAGCAAGCCTCACCACAAAGGCAGAAATATGTTCGTGGTAATGCCGTGAGTGACACCACCGAGAGAAAAAGTGAGAACAGTGAAATGTGTTTTCATTACGTGGGCGGTGCGAGTAGCAACCCAAACACACAAAGGAACACACAACAGAGGGGCACACTCAAACACCTACAACCCACCGATCTCTATACCAAAATAAAAATGTAAAAAAAAAGAGTGACTGGGTGAGGCAGACACAATAATAGAGCAAAAGAAAGAAAAAAAAGAAATTCATGTGTTACTGTGGCTGCGATGCCTGGACACAGTCCAATCCACTCCAAGGTTAACAACGGAAAATCATTCCGTACTGAACGTGCCGTTCCCACATCTTTATTCCTGATGTCCCTGCAGCAGTTTGTATATAATGAAGAAAAAGAATCATTCCATAAAAATGAACACACAAGGTGTATCGGAAACGCAAAAGAGAAACACACAGCTGCACATAATGTGCAATGAAATTATAATGGAACACACACACACAAGGGAAAACAATAAAATGAAAACAAAACAAAAAGAAAGCCGTGATCACCATGTGAATATGTTCAGGAGGCAAGAACACAATTCCCTGCAGTAGGTGTGTGTGTGTCTTTCGTACAGGGCGAGCAATGGGAATGATGCACACATGATGACAGTACACACACACACACACACACAAAGAGAAGGAGGGTTGGTAGTGTGCGTGTTTGTGTGTCTTGAACCTCCTACCATTCCTCACATTTCAGTCACAGCAATTAAAACACATCGGGTTGCACTCCATTCCCATGGGCAAAAGCAATATAGTTATTAATATCACGGAACCCACACACATCACCAGGAGGACACAGTGAATGGCGGCAAAACAGAGCCCAGATAATAATGCAAACAAAGAAAGAGGACACTTGCCTCACAAAATGATGGTTTGTCATGTGATAAGTGCCATAGGGAGTCCAATAGATGTGCTCAGCAAAAAATGCAAACAAGAGATTCATCGAACTGAAAAAAAAAAACATTAAAATTCAATAAAAACAACAATGCCCTTACAATGCATCCATATCCACTCAAACAAAGGTTAACTGTGCAACTGTGTCATGGGAACACCAATCAGCACACGAGAGTGCAACCCAACACACACAGGACAAGAAGAATCAAGGAACTGTGCACCAATGCAGGACTACTGCCACCATCTTTCTTTTTCTTGGCCTTTTCTGCAGCAATTCGTTTCGCCTCTTCTTCCTTGGCCTTTTGTGCCGCCTCCTGTCTCGCCTTTTCCTCCTCAGCCCTTCTCTTTTCCTCTTCAATCCTTTTCTTTCCTTCCGCAGCTTTTTTGGCCTTTTCTTCCTCAGCTTTTCGAGCTTCTTCCTCTCTTCTTTTCCTCTCCTCTTCAACCTGTCTCGCCCTTTCTCTCTCCAAACTCTCCTTTTCAACTCTTTCCTTTATTTCCTTTTCTTTATCCAACCTCTGCTTCACTACTAGCGGGACCTCATTCTCCTTCTTTGTCACCAGTTCATTCCTAATTACTACTATGATTTCATCTCTCGGTTTTGTTCGGTCAGCCATTTGCACTGCACCAACAATCTCTTTCATGTCATTTTCGGTTTTATTTACCAACGTTTGTATTCCGTTTTCATTTCCCTCCGGAATCACTTTCTTCTCGTTGAGTTCATCTATAATTTTCCGGAGATCAACAGATGCCTGCAGCATTGTTTTTGTGGCGTCTTCTGTCTTCTTTTTAGCATCCGATCTGACCTCGTTAATCTCCAAAATTGCCTTTCCCATGGTTTCCATGAGGTCATGAAGTTCTTTGTGTCTTAACTTGCCTCTCTCGACATACTCCAACCTTTCTCTCTTCTTCTCCGTTTCCTCCTTGTCTTTCATCTCCCCATCCAAAAAAGTATAATAGTACTCGAGTTTATCCGCCTCAGCTTTTATGTTGTCAAGATCGATAGTGCAGGCCTTATTTGTTTGTTTAACTGTTTCAAGACGACGTGTGGCGTCATCAACTTCCTTTTTCGTTTCCTGCAATGCTTCATCTGCAGTCACCATCAAACCTTTAATATCATCGGCCTTACCTTTTCCCGCCACAAGTTCGTCCTTTTTCACCTTCATCGACGTGACAGCTGCAACCGCCTCCTTGGCTGCATTTGTGGCAACCATAGAATTTTCACGGCACACCTTCATTTCCCCCCTCAACGTTGTCAGACAACTCTTTCCCTCCGCATACAATGAATCAGTGTACCACAAAGACGCATTCAATACTTTCACCGCCAACTTGATGTCGCTTTCCCCATTATCCCCATCGGTTGCATAGGCCGTACAAACACAACACTGCAGAAATACCAACAGGTACACCACACGGCGCAGCTCGATGAACATCGTTGTCATGATTGTCACTGTGGGTTGCTTGGATCCATGGTAACAAGGAAAAAGAGGAAAAGGAGAAAAGTAGACACACATTTAACACACAATGTAGTGGGTACACAGCAAAACAGAAAGAGAGAGGGAGTAACATCACAACATCAATCAAACACAACCAATGAGGGGAACACAACAATAAACCACTCACCCAATAAAACACACCCGGAGTTACACAGATATTGAAACAACACCTTGAATTTAGAAGAAGTGGAAAACAAATGGTATCAAAAACAATATGAAATAAACGTCTCTACACACACACTCCAATATCTTACTCGGTATTCATACACACAAAGTGTGTCTGTATTCTCATTATAATAAAATCATTGCCAGGCAGTTTGAACACCAAAAACACAGTGTACGCCCCGCAACAAACAATACCACAAATCATCAACAAAACAAAGAGACTGTACAATAATCAACACACACTACCAAACAAAAAAAACAAAGAAAGAAACCAATGCATCACCATAATATTTATACCAACACCACAATTGGAATCTAAAACCCACTCACCCACAACCATAACAAACATGACTGCATACATCACTGTAATACCACGCCACTCTTTACAAACAGAGGCAACACACACAATTACTCTCTCACACACACACATATTACCTCTTTATTTATCCTTATTACTATTATTTTATTTTTCCCTCAGAATGCCAGTTCGCCTCTTCTTCTCCCACAGCATTATCAGCAAAAAAAAACCAGTCAAACACACGTCCTTTACTCTATGGTGTGCATTAAGAGGGTACGATCAAACATATCCCCCCACCCCCACAAAAGACCCCACACCACACCACCACGTTTTTCTTTTTGTTCTTTCTGGCTTTATGTATGTTACTTCAATGGAACAGGCCATCAGGAGTAATACATAAATATACATAAATACAATTTTCTCATGTTATGGAAGTTTGTTGTGATGAACTTGATCAGTGTAATGCTATAACGTGGGATGCCGTGGCAAATCTTGTAGTTACTGTAGAACAACGGTGGTCTATGTTTACCAAATCAAACTCACTTTGTTGTTTGCTCATACAATTCTACGCTACTATCATTGCGGCAGAACTTCCAGTACCATTATCATCTTCATCTTCTAGTGTACTTAAAACTGATGCCTCATTATTAAAAGAAAGGTGTTTGCCATTTATAAATGATGCTACAGATATTTTAATTGATACCTTGAAAACTGATGTACCTCTTACTTGGAATGCTTCAGAGTTACAAGGAATGTGTAGAGCAGTACGACAATTAAATCGTTTTGAAGAGACTAGAAATTTATATCAAACAAGTTTTTATGGACGGAAAAGGTTTTGGAAACGTTCACCAGTATCATCTTTATTACCAGTGACAACAAAAACAACGACAAT